ACACTCATAGCACATACAGCCAACAACACATATATCCCATACATCAACCCCCACATATTCAACCACACACATCTCATAAATCTCACATTTAAAACACGTGGCAGAAGTACCGACTGTGCAGCCTGGTGTGGATGCATTGGGTCCCGCACACTGAGTGGGCCTATGTGCAGGCCCATGCACCTTGGACCACCTGATGGGTATTGCTAAACACGGGCCTGGTTATAATAATAAAATAATAATAATTTGGGATGCTGTGAGGAAGTGAGAGCCGGTCACTTCCTCTCAGCTATATAGAGCTCCGCACAGGAGGGAGGAGACAGCGGCAGCACTGGCAGCACAGAGACTGCACTGAATAATAATATTCTATGCTGAATATACAGGATGAAAGATGATGGTAGGCCATGTCTTTATCGAGTAGGGATTACAAATGACCGTTACCTATTTTTTCCACAAGAAATTCCTCTGAATTGAATCTTTATCAATTATAAGGGAGTTGAGGTATTTAGAACCAGGGCACAAAGCATCCTTTGCCCTTCACTTAGAAATGGCTTAGTAGTGGACATAGGGTTCAAAGGATGGTCTTGCACATCTTTGTGTTTTAGTATCCAGTTCCTTTGCGGTACTCAAATTACCCCTTTTATATTGAGATTCTGCTTGTGGGGTTGTATGTGTGTTGAGATGCTGCTTGTGGGTTGTATGTTTGTTGAGATGCTGCTTGTGGGGTTGTATGTTTGTTGAGATGCTGCTTGTGGGGTTGTGTGTGTAGGGTGGTTTAATCAATTCATACAGCCAGAGAGAATGCATTATAACAAGGTATAAACACATATTTAAGTCAGAAATGGAAAGGAGTGATTAGTACTTAAATCAATGTTCACATTATTTTAAGTGCTTTTAAGACCAATATTATTGAACAAAAAAGAGGAAACAATCACTGAAATGTCTATGAAAACAATACACTTCTTGACAAACACAAGAGTAGCTCTCATTATTGAATGCCATAGCTCATACATTTAATAAATGAAAATAAAATGTTGTTACAGTCATTGAGTTGCAGATTACAACACATTATTGGACATAGAATGGCAGCAAGGTTACAAAGAACATTATAGAAATTATAGAGCAATAAAAGTTCACTGGGGTATGGTATATGTTTTTCCTCAGCAAAACTGTTTGAGTTAAGGCTAGGAGACGTAAAGATCAGGATGAAAGATGTACAAAAGGGGTGTTTGGAAGTAGTTGGATCAAGTGAACTAAGGCAAGTCAAGGAATGAGTTATTGCGTACCAGATAATGTTAAAAAGAATGGATAAAAAGGTTTGCCTTCAGAAGTTTGCGAAAGAATGATGATAGACTGAATGTGAGCTGGGAACTTGTTCCAGGGAAGATAGATAAGAGGGGGAAAGTTGGTGGAGGGATTTGTAAATAAGAGTGAAGCTTTAGAAAATATAGCACTGACAAATATCAAGCCAAATTATTTTCCGTGGAAGGATTGTGGCCTGAGTAGGCCGGGGCATGTTGAGAAGTGTGATAGAATTTATCTTGATTCCAAGGCTCAAGCTTATAGGTGTAATGAAATCCTATATTAAAATTGACTAACTTGGACTCAGGAAATGCTTGATGCTTAAACAACACTTAAGACCATATATGTCTAAGTTCCGTGAGCAGAGAGCCCCCACCTAAGATGTCTCTGCTCTAATCATTTTGTTCTCTCTTACCTTGAAACTTATTTGTTATGTGTACATGACGCTCATCCCTATGTCTTATCTGTACTCCCCAATGTGCCTTGCTTATGCCACCTAATGTTACTCTTAAAAGGTGTATGGTGTTAAATCCATCTACATTGCTTCCCTGGATTTAGAAGAGGGGAGTGGGGATAGTGGGAATGGTACTTGTACTTCTGATCTTTTTGTAAATTCACTTTCACCAGATGAGTTAGCTGATGCCCAGGTACCCTATGATTGTGCAGCACTAATGGCACAAGAAACAGCAGTTTTTTTGCATGTAATTGATTCTCCATTATCTAATGCAGATTTTGAGTTTTTTGTAGATGGTTCCAGATATGCTGATGAGAAGGGTAATTTCCACACTGGATATGCTGTAGTCTCTGCACATGAGGTAATAAAAGCTGAACCACTCGCTCCTCACTGCTCTACACAGGAGGCAGAGCTGAAGGCACTCGCTGAAGCGTGTAAAATGGCTTCTGGTAAGACTGCTAATATTTATACAGACTCTCGCTATGCTTTTGGTATAACCCATGATTTTGGCCTTATATGGCGGGCTCGTGATTTTCTCACCTCAGCAGGAACTCCAATCAAGAACTCTGAAGCCGCTATCCTGCTACCCACTCAAGTAGGCATCATCAAGGTGGCAGCTCACGTGAAGATCACAGATTAAATCTCAAGAGGAAACCACAAAGCAGATGAAGCTGCTAAGCAAGCAGCAATCCAAGTTCATCCCTCTACAGGTAATACCTTACTACAAATTGTTCTTACAGATGACTACAATATACTGTTGAGCTTACAAAGACAGGCAAGCAAGGAAGAACATGACCTCTGGAGGAAACAAGATTCAGAACCTGATGATGACAGAATGTGGGGGAAAGGTAAAAGACTGTGTTTGTGTTTGCCACGAGTGTTGTACCCCATGATGGCCCAGATTGCCCATGGACCTACACATCTATCTAAGATGCACATGAACAGAATAGTAAACACCCATTGGGTAGCACCCGGATTTACTGTTGTAGCAGCTAAACACACCCAAGCTTGCATGATTTGTGCTAGAAACAATCCAGGACAGGCGGTCAAAACACCAAGTAAGCACACACCAAGGCCACTTTACCCGTTTCAAAGACTGCAGATAGACTATATTCAGCTACCTAAGGTAGGAGTGTATGAATATGTGTTGGTGTGCATTGATCTCTTTTCAGATTGGCCTCAGGCCTACCCAGTGTCGAAAGCCACAATGAAGGTCACAGCAAGTAAGCTTCTGAAGGAACTGGTATGTAGATATGGAGTACCTGAAGTGATTGAAAGTGACAGAGGTAGCCATTTCACTGGGGAAATAATGCAAGAAATTATGAAAGCCTTGGGGATCAGTCAGGCCTTCAACACCCCCTATCACCCCCAGAGTAGTGGGAAAGTAGAAAGGGCAAATGGCACCTTAAAGAACAAGATTGCAAAAGCCATGCAAGACACAGGGAAGCCTTGGACTGAATGCCTTCCCCTAGCATTCTTTTCTATGAGATTCAACCCCAATTCCAGACATGGCCTATCCCCTTTTGAGATCATGTTTGGATGTGCCCCAAAGACAGGCCTCTATTTTCCCCAAACCCTCCAGATGCTGCATGGTAATATGACTGCATATGTTCAGGCCCTACACCAAAGATTAGGCAGGGTGCATATATAAGTCTTTGATTCTATTCCAGATCCAGACTCTGATTCTGCAACTCACAAACTGCAGCTTGGTGATTGGGTGGTGATAAAGAGGCATGTGAGGAAAGGACTTGAACCACGCTTTGACGGTCCATTCCAAGTGCTCTTGACTACGGCTACCTCGGTGAAACTAGAAGGAAAAGCCACGTGGATACACGCCAGTCACTGTAAACAAGGCACTCCGACTGATCCACCGACATGAAGCTGTTCTTATCCATTACCATTTTATGCTGTGTTCGGATATACTACTCTGATTTGAGAGCAGAAAATTATAATGCATGGCAGGAAAAGATGGTTGCAGATAGCAAAGGCTTTTAATTTAACCTCCTTTTGCCTCAACCCTCTCCTCAGTACTGAAAACGCCATAGAATCTTGTCTTATAGCTGTCCCTACCCCCATCTCACTGTTGAGGAAGTACCCATAGACCCCATAAATCTCTACAACTACATTCTTATGCCTTTAACACACTGGTAGGCAAGCCTCCTCTAGCCCTGAAGACAATTAATGTGACAGGCGCTGAACTATGTTGGTCTTTTTCATGTAATTGTTCAAGAGACCCTAATACTGAATCCCTGTTTTGCCCCACATGGTGGAAAAATACCATGAATTGTAGAGCCCTGAGCACCACTATAAATTGTACCAAAAACTCACCAAATTATGAGTTACCACTACAATGTCTATCTTCCTAAAGGATGGACTTTCTCCTGTGGAAATATTACTTATGCTTATGTCCCAGGTAAGATTACAGGAGGTCCCTGTACAATATCTCGCCTAACCATGACCATGTTTTCCAAATCTGACCTGATCACTAAAACCACCCACAAACTGCTGAGAGACAGGACAGGAGATGTTAAAAACACCCTTAATGCAGATTGTAACCCTAAAATCACTCTCTTATCTAAAGCCGAATACTCTGCCCTAGCGTACACCTTGGTAGGAGTCCCAGGCTTAGCATTGTATAATACACGAGTAGTTAATGCTGTAGCCTGTTCCCTTGCAAAAGGCTTAAATGCCACTTCACAGGCCCTAGAAGAGCTACTTATGGACAACCAGGCAAATAAGAAGGCAATCCTTGAGAACAGAGCAGCCATTGACTACTTACTAATGAAACATGACTTAGGCTGTGAAGCTATTGAAGGTATGTGCTGTTTTAACCTATCTGTTTTAACCATGGCACTATGATCCATAAACATATAAAAGATTTACATGACTTAGTACAGGATATCAAACAGAATATTGGCTTATTTGGGGATTGGGATTGGACATTTGGGCTAGGAACATGCTTGACTTTACTAATTAAGAAAATTTTGTACTTTTTGCTATTAGCTGTATTTGTCATTATGGCTATTTTTCTAACCTTTAGATTTTTTTCATGTCTACTAACCTCTCTATGTAAAAGCAAACCTACTGTTGGTCGTACCTTAACTTACATTCCAGCTCCGACTTCCGAAAGGTTTTATGATGTTACCTCGCCTAACAAATGAAGGAACTCTCCTCCGCTGATTCTGGTGGTCTCTCAGTCCAAGGGAACCGTGGTGAAGCAATAAATGAAAGTCCCACAGGCTTTGGCTAGCAGGCCTGGATATACCTTGGACATTTGGGTGACCCTTGGATCAAAAGAAGGGATTGTGATAGAATTTATCTTGATTCCACGGCTCAAGCTTATAGGTGTAATTTAATGATATCCTATATTAAAATTGGCTAACTTGGACTCAGGAAATGCTTGATGCTTAAACAACACTTAAGACCATATATGTCTAAGTTCCGGGAGCAGAGAGCCCCCACCTAAGATGTCTCTGCTCTAATCATTTTGTTCTCTCTTACCTTGAAACGTATTTGTTATGTGTACATGATGCTCATCCCTATGTCTTATCTGTACTCCCTTCCTATTACTGTTCTAAGAGTATTTGCACGTAAGCACTTACTTTTTAATGTATAAAACCCAGCTGATGAATAAAATGTCAGAGGCTTATTTTGAATACCAACAGGTGTCTGGTGTCTAATTCTCGCTTCTCCGAGTGCACTTGTAACAACAATTTGGGCTTCCTCTGAATATAACAAAGATCAACATTTCTGATCCACAACTGAAGTAAGCGGGCAGATCCATTTTAGATTTGCTGCAGGGGGCTGACTGAGTGTTGAAGAAGGCCAACCAGGAGAGAGTTGCAGTAATCTAGCGTAGTGAGGGAGAGAGAATGAATAAGGAGCTTAACAGCAGATTGTAATGAGAGAATGGATCTTCTGGATATTAAAAAAGTGACAGCTGGAAGTAACATTGGCTACATGTTTCTGGAAGCGGAGGGAAAAGTTAAAGATGATGCCTAGATTGCAGGCTGTGGATGAGGGGGAAATGGCCAGGGAATCATAGCGAGAGGTGGTGGAAAGGTGGGTGAGAGAGATGGGGAAGAGAAAGAACAGTATTTCTGTTTTGCATGGATTCATTTGCAGACAGTGTAAGGACATCCACGAGGCAATGTCAGAAAAGCAGGAAGTAATGTGAGGAGAGGTCAGGTGTTAAGGAGGAAAACGATTCAAACATTCAACTCTGTTAGGTTGGCAATGCTTTCAAGGACACACAAAGCTCAGTTGTGCAATATATATATATATATATATATATATATATAAAGTTTGTGAAATATTATATAGGAAAAAACTTACTGCCAAACTTGTAGGAGAAAAGCCAGTTTTGCCAAGCTATTTAGCCACATTGGCCAATCAAACCATGTATATGGAAATATATGAACATATTTGACACCCAAAAAATAAAACAGTTGGGGTTCAGGTGTAACAGGAGACATCGTGGGATATGCAGTCATATATAATCAACCCCAAAGTGCTGATATACCCCGATACATCACGATTCGCGTCTGGGCTAGCAAGTTCTTTATTTTTAGGGGAATAGTTAATTCTCTGGAATTTACACCACTTAAAACATAAAAGTAAAATCCATTCTAATGGTCGTATTATTCTGCATCTAGTACACGCCTTACTGTGCTCACTGAAACCTCAGTGCCTGTTGCCACCAAGTTTTGCTGCAGCCCTTTTGCAGTCACTCAAAGATTTTTCACAACCTGCTTTCTCAGAAATCTGGTTGCAGCCATGGATAGCTTCCTTTTCTGCCCCATCAAGGTAGTGTAACCACTGTTCCTTCAACTTTGAACTTGTGAACTTTGCTTCCAACGGTGTCTCTAAGAACATTCAGTGCCTTTGCTATCTTTTTCTATACTGTTTCTTGCTTGTGAAGGGTGATGAACTCTTCTCGATTCATTTGACTTAGCCATATTTCTAATATGCAGTCAAACATGACACTCAACAAACCCCTAGCCAGTTCAGGTATTTTAAGTGTTCCGGCTCAAGCACACCTGGTGCTACTAATGAAGCTCTTGATTAGTTGCATCACGTGTGCTTGAGACAACACCTATTTGACATATTTGTGCTGTTGTTAGGGATTCTATTCAGAGGGTTGATTCATTTTGAGACTGGAGAAATCATTATAAGTTGCATTTCATTTGAATTTGAGAAAATCACATAAAGCTTGATTTGTAGATTGCAAACAGTCGAAAGTCTGTAAATTGTGACAGTAAACCTGATTTTCAATGGGAGTTAAATATTTCTGAGTACAACTGCACATGTGGCCCTGTACAGCCTTTTCTTATGTGTATTTTACTAAAGTGGCAATATAGAAATCTTGGAGAATAATAACTAATTTCAAAGAACCCCTACTAAAAGAGGAAAAATGGAAATGAACAAGTCCCTAAAAAAATTAAAAGGAAAGTTTATTCAAAATTGGACAAACAATTTACATTTTTTTAAATTGAAATCAGAAGTATTCAAAGACTCAAATAATCAATAAAAAATAATAACAAACCCATCACCAGCAGAAGAAAATATAAACATACGGAGTCTCCTAATTATAAATCAGTCTATGGAGTGAATATAAGGAGGACATATTTTTAAAATCCCACAAAGAAAATGGCTTGGGCAATACCACAATTGATTATTAGAAAAATAACAAAAAGGACAGTTAGAAAAAATGCTACTAAATTAGTATAGGTATTCACTGGGACTCAAAATATTGGTTTGTCTTGAAAAAATTATACTTGAGGTAAGTATATATCAATCGACTCTCTGTAACACTAACAGTAGTATAGGTATAATACATTTGACTAAATAAAACCAGAAGATTTTGGGGAAAAGGTAAAGCAAACCAAAAACCCCCCACAACTAACTAATGAAAAAATAACATTTATTTGTAAAGGATAACTTATGCCTAATGCTAAAAGGATATATTGCAAAGCATAAACCCTCCTAATACCACAGGCTGGATCGCCTGTATCTGAGAGTGCTACCATGACTTAACCACCTTTTTACCTTGCATTTCTTAAGGCTCTCCTATCAATTGTTAAAAAGAGTCAAAAGGTAGCTTTACAACTACACATCCCAAAAAGTCGGATAATAGCTAGAGACTCCTACAGACAGATCACCACTCAAATACCGTGAACAATTTAAAAACAACTAAGCTACCTGACGCGCGTCTCGGCGCCTGTGCGCCTTTGTCTGGGGTTTCATCTGGGGTTTTTGAATAAACTTTCCTAATCATTTTTTAGGGGCTTGTTGACTTCCATTTTTCCTCTTTTAGAAGGGGTTCTTTGGAATTAGTTATCATACTCCAATGCTCTGTGGGTTATGCCCTTGCAAGCTCCTCAACACAACCTATTGGTTCTCTATAGGGATCAATTTATACGTTATTTTATTATAGAAATGTTGCTTAATTATGGGAAAGTAATCTGTATTCTTATGGTATAAAAGATTAGTGATTCCTGGAGCGTTAAGATTAATTGATTTATAAAATATATACCAGGAAGGATACATTTAGACTTCTCTCATTTTCACGTATGTCTTGGACCCACAAACATTCCATTGCTACAATAGGGTGCAATACAATATAATATTAAAAATACAAAATTATATTAAAATACATGCCTTCTGTATTAAGATATGTTGCTATAGATGTCTTAAAGGATTTTACATTTGATTGCGTCTGTGAGGTTATTCTATAATTGTGATGCTCTGTAGAAAAATTAGGATCGAGCCACTTTATTTTTGCATTGGGGTATACTAAATAAAGTGCTGGATTGGAGGTTATAGGAGATGGTAACAGCTGGGTAGAGCATTCTACTCAGGTACGGTGGGAGCTTCCCAGAAAAGCTCTTAAACACAAGGCTGATGAAGGGTGCATCTGGGTTCTAGAGGCAGCCAGTTTAGCTCTTTTATCATGTCACAATGGTGGGTAATGTAATACATTGTAGAACAAAGCAGCAGAGTTATACAATGTAGCAAATTTATGATGATGGGTTTGTGGCACAGGTGTATACACTACATCCCCATATTCAATGACCGACATTAGCAATCTGTTTCCTTACTGTGGGGCTTAGGCAGGATTTGTTTCTATACAGGGCATTTAATTTTTGATAAAGTTTAGATGTGAGTTTTTCAATGAGGAGGCCAAAGGATAAATTGAGATCTAGCAACGTACCTAGACATTTGATACATAATCTAACACCCTTGTATAAAAAGTGGAATAACACAATGTTAAGATAAACCCCTAAAAAAGGTTTACAAAATACAACAGGAAGTCAGCACAAATTAACAGACAATATGTAAATGGACAGCAACCGGTGGCGTACACATGACCAATGGGGCCCCGGTGCGAAAATTGATCCGTGGCCCCCCCCCCCGCGTAGAGTACTTACTCTCCGTGGTCCAGGGCTGCAACACATGGCGGCGGGCACCTGGTCGCAGGGGTTGCAGGGCTGCGACAACTGCGACCGTGGTATGTACGCCAGTGCATGCAGATACACATACACTTAAAGGACCACTACAGACACCCAGGTCCCTCTAGACACCTGAATGAGGTGGTCTGGGTGCCAGGTCCCTCTAGTTTTAACCCGGCAGCTGAAAACATAGCAGTTTCAGAGAAACGGCTATGTTTCACTGAGGGTTAATCCAGCCTCTGGTGGCTATCTCATTGACAGCTGCTAGAGAAGCTTCCGCGATTCTCACTGTGAAAATCACAGTAAGAGGACACTGAACGTCCATAGGAAAGCATTGAGTAATGCTTTCCTATGGGCGGTTTGAATGCGCGTGCAGATGTGTCGCGCATGTGCATTCGGAGCTGAGAGGCGGAAGGATCCCCAGCGCCAAGGGAGTCCAGCGCTGGAGAAAGGTAAGTGCTGAAGACACACACACACTCTCACGAACAGACGCACAGACGCACACTAGCTAAGAGACACACACATTTACTGACAGAGACACACTCAGCGACAGACATACTTACACACTCACAAAACATACACTCTCACTGACAAACACACACTCACTAACAGACATCAAACAGACTCACTAACAGACACACACTCAATAACAGACACACTCACTGACACTCACTAGCAGACACACACACTAACACACACACACTAAAACTAAAACACACACACTAACACACACACACTAACACTAACATACACACTAACACACACACACTAACACACACACTAACACACACACACACACACTAACACACTAAAACTAAACCACACACACTAACACACACACACACACTAACACACACACTAACACTAACACACTAACACACACACATATTTTTTTTTGTAATTTAATCCCCCAGCCTCCTTACCTTTTGGAGTGCTGAGGGGATTCTCTGGGGTCCTGGGCGGCCGGTCCCTGGACGGACAGGTTGGCGGGCGCGCGAGGGAGCACAGTCCCCTGAGTGCTCC